CGTGGACTGCAGCTTCCTGCCCCCAGGTAAGGCTGCCGGCTGCCGGCCACAGCGTGCCTGGGGCGCCGTCTGCCTGTGGCCAGAGCTAGGCTCAGCACTTGCTTGGGTCCTTCTTGCATCCTCCTCAAGTGACAGCAGGCTTCCCCTTTGCGAGTTTCGCTTGCCGCGAGCTGCGGGCCGCGGCGCGGTGGGCGTGCCTCAAAATACGTGGTGGGCGTGCCTCAGAATACATGGTGGGCACCCTGCATCTGTCTTCTACCCTCCTGCCCACCTCAGCCCAGGCCTGCCTCGGGGAAGGGACGAGGGCCGCGTGCTGGAGCCTTGGGCCCCTTGGAACGCGCCAAGCAGCCCCGGTGACCTGAAGCCGTGCCTCTTGGTCGCTAGTCCAGCTTTTCCTGCCTCGCTTTCTCATAATAGTTCTTTTCACGCCCAGACCCTTTTGCACTGTCTCAGAGGCGCTAACTGCCCGGGGCCCCAGGTTTGTGTTAGTACTTTGACTCCCTTGGCCTGAGCCAGCTGTTGGGTTTCACAAGTGAAACTTGGGAAGGGGGCCCTTCTTGGTCCTTTCCTCCGTTAGCTTTTCTTTAGCTCCTCTTACTTCACTGAGTGTCTTGTGAGTGGTTAGGATTTAATTGCCTAAACTCGTGCCTTTCTCCGGCCTCTGTTCCTCTGCCACACCCAGGCCAGTAATCCCATGTGCCTTGTAGGATGGGGAATGCTGCAGGGGCAGGTCTGGATACTGAGATTCTCCATTTGGATGAAAGATGCCAGTCTCCTGAAGGGTGAGAGACTTACGTGCAGCCTCTCATTCTGGGTCCGGCCTGCAGCCCATTGGAAAACTTGTCCAAGCTCACTTTGGCCTTGGGTGTGCGTGATGGAAGTCTGAAGAGCTGGATCCGCCAGGCCTAACTCATTGCCAAAGGATTTGAGCGTGCGTGATGCCAGCCTGCCAGTTGTCATGCTGTGGATGGGTAGGTCATGCTGGCAGGAGGGCCCTTCTAAGAAGAGACAGCGGGGTGCTGGTGGTTCTCAGGAGCAGCATCTTTAAGACTGGCGATGGCTTTGGGCATTTTCAACCTTGCAAATAATGCAGACAAGCCAGGGTCTTTGGCCTGACCTCAGGCAACTCAAAGGAAAACTGAACTAAGGTGGTCTGAATCCTTCCCTGTGTATCACCTAAGATAGGATTTCTCAACCTTCAGCAAAATCCCTGGCCTCTATCCATTAGATGCTAGTAATACCTCACCTCTCGCCGCCCCCACCCCCAACCAAGAACACTAGTTGTGAAAACCAAAAATGTCTCCAGACATTGCCAAGTGTCTCTTAGAGGGCACAGTCACCCTTGGTTGAGAACCACTGAGGTAAAACTCTAAAAAAAAGTCTTCCCCTGCTGCCAGAGGCCTCCTGGGACCTGTCGGTGAGTAGCTGAGAGATTTAGGCAGAGGGTAGTTTTGTGCCCCCTGCCCTAAACCAGTGATTGAAGCCATGTGGGTTGGACTTTAATGGAGTCCCCTCTCTGCACCTGGGGGGATAGGAGTGAGACAAAGGTAGAAACCCATGGGCATTTGCTGTGCCTGCTGGATGCATGGCAGTGACTGGCTGGGTCCAGAGTACAGAAGAAGTGGAAGACTTAACGGTTTCTGTCTTCGGGGACTTTGCAAGACTGTGGGAAATGTGCATATGAAATAACTGTGGGGTGGTTTTTAAATAGTGAGCAAACAAGTTTAAGCTATCTGAATGCTGGCAGAAAGGCCAACTCAGTTGGCCTGGAAAATAAGAAAAGCTTTTCTTATCCTCACTTATTTGTTGAGACATCTCATGTCTTACGATGTGGGAGGGGGCTAGGCCTGTGTCTGCAGAGAGTAGGTGTCTGATTTCATTTCAAACATATATGTGGGCATATTTACTTGTACAGTTTGTAGAGTTCTTTTATAGTTCATCAAAGCATCAGTGTCAGAGACAACCATTTATTTTGGTGCAGAGAAAGATACTTTAGTTCTGGGTCTAGATTTTTACCTTCAGTATAACCCAGAATTTATGCCTCAGGATTCAAAGTCTCAAACTGGTGGGGATGCAGAAAATTGAAGAACGATGAATATTGTACAGAGCAAGGAAAAACATCCTAAGCCTCTGCCGTGAATTTCCCTTTCTTGTTGTTAATCGATCTTATGGGGATGTATCAGGATTTTCCCATAGCATTCCTTGGTTAGTTAGGGAGTCTTTGGGGTGCCCTTTCTTGCCTATAGAAAAGAATCTGGACAGGGAGGTCACTTCTCCTTTCTCAAGAAGAAGATTAGAAAGGTCTATTATTGGGAAGCTCCACACTTGGCAGAATAATTTTCCATCAAGAGCTGTGGACACTGAGTCATTATCTTTGTCAGTTGAAACAAGAGCTGTGTGCAAAATTAGACAGGAATATTTAGATAGAGAGTTGTCTTGATCTGACTGTGGCATCTGGAAATAGTTCCAGCATTCTTGCTAAACAACAGCCAGGGGCTTGGGAGAGCCAGTAGAAAGAAGAGCCTGTGGGAGAGGGGGAGTGTGAGGGCCCTGCTCCTCCAGGAGTTGCACCCATGGGAGGGATGGGGCCTGCTGACTCTGAGGCAGGGCCAGGACCCCAAGTGAGATGCGTCTGGTTGGGCTTCTCCCCGTGCTTTTCAAACTCCAGTGGGTATCCGCTGGTCTGTCCACAAGCATGTTGTTTGTTGTGGGGTTACAGGCTCCTCCTGAGCCCTTGACCTTTTGCTTTGAGGTCAGGGGCTTGCAGAATATTTTAAGTTGGAAATGACCCTTAAAATCTCTTTTTATTCTTTATATTTGGGTCTGTGCATGTAGAGAGGGATTCTTGATAAGCTGAGTGTTTTTGACTCAATTTGCCATTTCAGCGTGCTGTAGTTTGTTGTAGTGTTGGAACTGAGTTCTTTTCTCTAGAGCCCTTGACTTGCTTTTTTACAATACGCCCCCACTCCCCACCCCCCAGCAGTTTCCATCTCGGCTGTGGGAGAGAGGCTGCAAATGCTCCTCCACATCCTGCCCCTGAAGAAAAGCCCGCTGTTGAACTGAGGCTGGATCTGGTTATTTACTTCTCGTTGAACAAATATCGATTGATTGTTTGCCTTGAGCATGACATTGGGAATATAAAAGTGAACAAGACTTGTGTGCCTAACCTCAGGGAATTGTAGTAAGGGGTGTGCAGATACTGCTTAAATGCCCTTGGTGTGGTTTGGACTAGGGGCTCTGGGTCAGACTACTTCTGGCTGGTGGAAATGGTAAATGCTCTTGGAAGAGAAGGCATGTTAGCTGGGACTCTGAGGATGAGTAGGATTTCAGCAGGAAGAGGCAAGAGTTTGGTGGGGGCTGGGGGGTGGTAGTGACTGTCCAGTGCTTCCTAGACTATCTGTGGGGAAGGCCAGGCTTTATTTTTTTCCCAATTTGTTGCAGACCGATGCTTTTGTAAAACATAGTAAAACCCTCATGACAATGCTCAGTTGCTCTGAAAGTTTCTGAGCACTCTGTTATCTCATCAAGGATGACACCACCAGTCCAAGGACTGTTCTTTGAGTCACACTGGTCCAGGCAGCAGACTCCCTGAGCAGAGGCGCTGGGGTGGGCGAGTGCAATCTGGCCAGAGGGTAGGGAGTGGGAGGGGAGCAGTGGAGTCTGGGCTAGGGAGCAGATTGGGGTGAGTCCCCCCATTTCCTGTTGAAGCAGCCTGTGTGATCTGCCCTTAGGGGTTTAGGATGGTCTGAGCAGTTGCTGCCAGTTGTGCTTCTGTGGCATTTTATCTCAGCAGTGGGGTGGGGGTGGGAGGCAAGGAGGGCTTGGCATAGTGCTCCTGGTAATTTTCAGCCAACAGTTCAGTTCAGGCCAGAAAGGGTTCCCTGAGTGCCCACAACTCATGAGTCCAGCTGCAGCCTGGAGGGCCCTGAGAGGGAGGGAGGGAGACTGGGAGGGAGGTGGCTCCCTTCCCCGGCACAGGTACAGTGGATGAGGGTACCTGTGGATACTGGGCAGACTGTGCAGGACCTAGAGGAGGTGCAGTCCTGTGCTGTGGGAGCCCCAGTGCCTTGGTGTTGATTCTGCTGGAAGTGGGCTGGGGAAGCGGCTTCCTGCGCTGGGAGGTCTAGGGGCTGGGGCCAGAAAGAGGAGCTGGTTTCCATGGGAGAGAACGGCTTTGAAGCTGAGGTCCACAGTGACTGCCGGTGGCACTGCCATGAGGTGGGGAGGGCACTCAGGTGGGCAGGCTGCTGGAGAGAGTTGGTCAAAGGAAATTAGGGTGGATGAGGAGGGAACTGGTGAGGTGGCTTGTGAGAAATGACGGCGGCCTGAGTCCCAGGTGGCAGGAGGGGTGGTAGAATGCAAGGTTAGATTCAAGAGAATATAAATCTATGTAGGTGGACTCTCTAGATTAAGCGACTGCTTGGCCACTGGGCTGAGATTTCTAGTCAGGGGAGGACTGTTTGGGGTGGATAGTGGTGTCAGTATTGAAAAGAGAGGGTACAAGGGGGAGGACCTGGGCTGGTGGAAGGAAGATGATGATGTTAGTTTTAGATGGGAAGGGATTGAGGTATCTGCAGGACTTTTTCCTATCCTTTTTTATTAAGATACAATTTGCATACATTAAATTCACCCTTTCTAGTGCATGGTTATGCATTTTGACAAAAGCATATAGTCACGTAACCATTACTACAATCAAGGTGTAAAAGTATTCCATCACCCCCTGAATTCCCTGTCCTCCTCCTCGGTGCCTGTGGGACTTGGAGGAAGTGATGTGGTGTCTCTGTATAATTGGGTTTGTTCTCGAATTGGTTCAGTAGTCAAGACGGCCTGCCTGGCCTGAGAATGTGATGCATGACGTACAGGAGCTGTCAGCCCACGAGGAGGCTGAAGCAGCCCAGGGGACAGTGGAGAGAGCATGGAGAACGGGATGGAGGACCAGGCCTGGGGACTCCTTTGCTGTGCAGTAGGTGGAGGAGGAGGAGCTGGTGAGACGAGGGGGTGAGAGTGAATCCTGGGAACCAAGGAC